GCTGCACCCGGGGTTTTTAACCTCTTCAACTGGGTTTGAAACCCTGCGGAGAATTTGCATTTCTAACAACTTCCCAGGTGATGGTGCTGCTGTTGGCTGGGTACCAATTCTGAGAACCACTAGTAGAGCAGTGGGTCTCAAAATTTACTGTACATAAGAATCACCTGGAGGATCTTGTTAAAATGTAGATTCTCTTTCAGTATAGCTGGGGGGTGGAAATGCAAATTCTCAGAAAGGGTTCAAACCAGAACAAATGACTCTGAAGCCCTGGCAGAAAGCTGTTCCTCATACTGCACCCAGCACAGTGCCTGATTCCCACTATGGCCTCAGTTAATTATTCATCAAAAGAACAAGTATTAGGTATTAATTACTAAGCCATTTAGCACTAAAATTGTGCCAAGATTTAAACACAGAAATATATATTAATAAAATGTTACGTTATTATTACTAGCAAAAATATTATAATAAACAAATTCCACTGGAAAATCCCTCACAACATTACTATACTCTGTCCTAGGGAAAGGTAAAACCATGCCATTAGAAAGCACTTGAGAAGAGCATGTGGTGAGGGGAAGAGTGAGGGAATGGCTCTTCATTGCCTTCACTTTAAAAATCTATGGCAGACAGAAGTACAGTAAGCAGTTTCAAGTGATAATTTGTTATAGAAGCTTTCCTGATGACATATACTCAGAGGAAATCAACTCCTTTATCCTTATTCATGCAGGCAGAATTAAGAGTTAACAATGTTGTTTCCACATAGACAGAAATAAATAGTAACAGCCTCTGTCTAGAGGCCACTACATGAATTGGTAGACTGAGACCCTAGCTTCAGTCCATACAAATACTTCTTAAACACTGCCATTTGAGGTGTTTTCAGATTGAATACAGAGTAAATAATTATTTGTACAATATACATATATACATAGTATTTCTTTTTTCCAATATACTTTCTCTCCTTTTATAACCATGTTGTTATTTCTTTCTTTCATTTCAGAATAGTCATTCTTTCCTCATCTTGTCACTGTACATGCTTTACAAGAGTGGAAAAATACTGTAATCGAAGCTCTAGCCCACAGCACAGTGTCTTTATTTTTACAGGCAGAAAATGACTACATTGGAACGTTTTAGATACTGTGCTGAAGCCATATTTGTTTCTAATAAGATTCTTACTTTTCTTCTTTATATGAAAATAAAAGCATCTTATCATTTCATGTTCCAAGCCCTAGAAGTAGTTTTAAGTATTTTTCAAACATTAACTGGGGCTAATTAATACTATACTATAATCATGTTTGGGGGATGCCAAATGCAAGAGAAGAGCTTAACTCTTAACTCTTAAGGAATTTTTGAAGGCTTTATATAAATAAGTACATAATTATTTATATAAAGCCATCAAAAATAATTTATGTAATAATTTATATAAAGTCTTCAAAATACATATTAAACATATATATAGTGGAGCCCTGGTGGCAAAGCGGTTAAGAGCTTGGTTGTTAACCAAAACGTTAGCAGTTTGAATCCACCAGCTACTCTTCGGAAACCCTAGGGGGTGATTCTACTCTGTCCTATAGGGTTGCTATGAGTTGGAATCAACTCGACAGCAACAGGTTTGGTTTTGGTATCCTAAGTAGTTCAAGGTTTCAGGTTTTTTTTTCTGCTGTTTAATTTTAAGGGCTAATATGTAGCCTATCCTAATTTTAGAAAGAAAAGGTTTAGGTGATATAATGGCACCCAGACCAGAAAAACATGAAAACATTCATAAAGTACAAACATCAAGTTGTGCTGATCTTAGGCCCTATTTCAAGCTATGGCTACAAACCAAATTTCTCAAATTCTTAAATTTGGATTTCTCAAGCAAACTGTAATGGAGAAATAATGCTGAGGAATTGAAAGGGGACAGAATAAATTTCAGGAATGCTAGTATGCTGTGGAAAAGGTCAACCTATAGGTTGTTTATCTGGTACTTGGGTAGAACTACAAACTGTCTTCAATTTTAGAAGCTTAAGATTCAACTTCCATATTGTGATAACTTTTCCATTTAAGTACAAAATACAGAAAACTAATCCACAAAGGCCTCCCTAGATTTTTTTTTAACTTACTCATCTAACAGGCCAAATCTATCATCCCTTGATTTTTCCTATTTAAAAGAAGTCAGACCCTGCTACGCACAATAACACGTTTTATGTTACTATCTTCGGCTTCTCAGTGAAGCAGATATTGTATTGATATGAGCTATTATATTAACAAGTCTTGGAATCACTTAAGTACAAAACTGTTAGGTTCCTCCTTATGTTCCAAAAAGAGGTCAGGCTAAAGAGTGATGTTGCTGCATTTTATTGCCTCTGTGCCTCTGAAACATAAAAGAGACATACTGCATACATACATATTGTATACATCTACCTGGGTTCCTATGTGTTCAGCAATGTTCACAAGTGAGATGAGAATGTCATGCTTCCCTCTTTTCATAGATTCAACTGTTATTCACCATGAATTAAAACAGACCTTCTTAATACATTCCTACAAGCACTAATTTTCTGTGGATGGAGATAGTAGAGTCTAAGTCAAGTCTCTAGGTAGTCCAAAATTCAAAAATAAGGTATTAGGGTGTTTAGATGAAGTTATCTACTACTATATGACTTGAAGTCACAGACAGCAGAGTTCATATCATGGTAACATCAAGACTACCTACATGATCTTGGCCAAATTATTTACCTTTCTGAACTTCAGTCTCCTTGTGCAAAGTGAAGATAATATCTGACTTGTATTAATATTTTGGTGATTAGTTCTCAGTCATAAAAAGTGCTTAGCACAGTGCTTGATAGGTAGTAGTTAGTAAATAGTAACCTTCCCAGTAACTGAATACAATATTAAGAGGAGGATTTGGGGAACATTTTACTAAATGATAATTGCAGTGAAGATTCAGAAATGTACAAATTTTAGGGAAAGGACTAAAATAGCACACCATAATAATAAAAAAAATACTATGAACTATAAAGTTAAAAACCTTAAAACCCATAAAGTTCAATATAGTGAAGGTTCAGAGTTTAATATTTCAATATTCCGTTGCACAGAAGCTTAACCCGGGCATCATAAAAATATCTGATTTATAAATTCAGTAATCTATTAGTCTTTAATAATATTTGAAAAGCATCTAATATTGGTTGTGTTAAAATGATTTTTCTCAAAATAGACATATAAACGATAAATAGTATTTTCAATACTCTTATAATCTCATAGGCGCATGCAGAGCCTGCACACAGATAGACCAAGAAGAGGCAGTCATTCAAACAGAACAAGGAGATACTCTGTGGTTTAACATGAGGAAAGGTGTGTGTCAGGGTTGTATCCTTTCACCATACTTGTTCAATCTGTATGCTGAGCAAATAATCCAAGTAGCTGGATTGTATGAAGAAGAACATGGCATCAGGATTGGAGGAAGACTCATTAACAACTTGCGAAATGCAGATGACACAACCCTGCTTGCTGAAAGCAAGAGGACTTGAAGCACTTACTGATGATCAAAGACTACAGCCTTCAGTATGGACTGCACTTCAAAATAAAAACCTTAACAAGTGGACCAATAAGCAACGTCATGATAAATGGAGAAAATATTAAAGTTGTCAAGGATTTCATTTTACTTGGATCCACAATCAACACTGATGGAAGCAGCAGTCAAGAAATCAAACGACGTATTACACTGGACAAATCTGCAGCAAAAGACCTCTTTAAAGTATTAAAAAGTGAAGATGTCACTCTGAGGACTAAGGTGCACCTGAGACCCAAGCTATGGTATTTTCAATTGCCTCAAATACAATGAATAAGGAAGACCGAAGAAGAATTGATGCCTCTGAATTACTGGTGATGGCAAAGAACATCGTATATACCATGGACTGCCAGAAGAACCAACAAATCTGTCTTGGAAGAAGTACAGCCAGAATGCTCCTTAAAAGCAAGGATGATGAGACTTCATCTCATGTACTTTGAACATGTTATCAGGAGGGACCAATCCCTGGAGAAGGACATCATGCTTGATAAAGTAGAGGCTCAGCGAAAACGAGAAAGACCCTCAACGAGATAGACTGACAGGGGCTGCAACAATGGGCTCAAATAATAGCAACAATTGTGAAGATGACACAGGACTGGGCAGTGTTTTGTTCTGTTGTACACAGGGTTGCTATCAGTTGGAACTGACCTGAAGGTACCTAACAACAATAATCTCTGTGAATTCTATGAGTCTCTAATCTCTACTAAGTCATTTTTTTTCTTTTATTTAAAAACTTCAATGTAAATATCTAATTTAGTAAATATAATTTACCACTATAAATATCTATATAATTATAGCCAACCCTCTTCCAACTAAAACAGCATTTCCAAATATGGTCTTCTTTACATACTCTGCATTTTTGTTTCCTGGAATTCAGTAACAAATTACTCCTTATGTCTCCTTTTATTTTTTCATTTAAAATTTCTCTTCAGTTGGGTAACAGCTATTTTTCAGTCTCAAAAATCTGCTCATTAAATTTAATCTGATTAATGCTGAAGCAACAGTCTGGCTGAAGCCAAGTTTGTCATTAAAAATAGTGACGGCAGTATTTTCAGTTCTGCTATTTTTTAGTAGAATAATATAGCAAGCCATTAAGTCCTTACCAAGACAACAAAAACAAAAAAGCAAAAATACCCATATAAATATGACTTATTAGAATCATCTGTTAATCTGTGATTACAGAGTCCCTGGCACAGAATTATGAACTGTTAAAATAGTTTCCTAAGGAATTTATAATGATCAGACTATGCTTATCAAAAAATATAAAAACAAAGTATTTGTGGAGAATCATTTTGATCTAGTTAGGAAGATTTCATTTATTATTACCAAATATATATATATATATAAAATTTCTGCTTAGTTAAAACAATGTCATTGTAAGTGTACTTCTTATATCAGAAAAAAGTATGTTTATGAAATTTAACCATACCTTCAAAGACATCTGTCATTTTGCAGATATGGGCAAATGTAGCTCCAGTAGCCCAGGTATATACTACATCCATTAGGTGAGGTTTGAATGAGCTTAGATAAGTTTCTTCATCGATTTCTAATTTGGCCTCTGCTGAAACTTTTGCAATTCTTTTAGCACATTCCTTTAAAGAGAAAAGATAAATTAAAAATTCCTTACTTATGACACCCCATATCACTTTTTTCTTCAGGTTTCCAAAGTCACCATTCCACAAGGCTCCTTTTTCTTCCTAGGTAATATGCCTGCAATGTGGATGGTCTGTTTCTAAGTGGGCAGAGTGCCAGTTCTATTGCTAAGTGATCTAATGCCAACTTTTCCCATTAAGTTGAAGTGGTTAACTAAGAAAAATATATCAGGATCGTGATTTTCACCCACTTATACCTCCAGGGTATGTTGTTGCTTCACAATTCTGTTTTGAATTTACTTGTTCATTTTTTTTTTTTTTTTCCAGTTGTGTTAAGTATATATATGGAGCCCTGTGGCACAGTGGTTAAGAACTTGGCTGGTAACCAAAAGGTCTGCAGCTCGAATCCACCAGGCACATCTCAGAAACCCTGTGGGGCAGTTCTACTCTGTCCTATGGGGTCACTATGAATCGGAATCGACTTGACGGCAATGGGTTTGGTATTTTTTTTTTGGTTTTATACCTTTTCTACCAAAAACCGAGTTCTTCATTAAAGTTATTCAAGAGTAACATTTAACTAACCTCTATTTCATTAAGAAAACAAAAACAGATAACAAAACATGGGGTCGAGTCAGACTCACATTGACCTCATGTGATGGAGTAGAACTGTCCCACAGGGTATTCTTGGCTGTAATCTTTATGGAAGCAGATTGCCAGGTCTTTCTCCCACGGAGGTGTTGCGTGGGTTGGAAACCACCAGCCTTTTGGTTAGCAGCCAAGCGTTTAAACATTGCGCCACCAGGCCCCTTCAAAACATACTTAGAGAAATACTAAATACTAACAGATTTCGACTCTTCTTTTCTTGGTAACTTAGAATATCAAAACTCCTAGACTTGTAAAGATTTCCCTGGTTCTGGAAGTTTAAAATTTCTTAGTAACGTTAGGGGATGCTAAATGTTCCACGGAAGGGGCCTTTTTTATGATCCACTTTTCATTCCTCTCTTGTAATGCCTTAGCTTCTCTTTCCTTATCTTTCTGTCTAATGCTGAAAAAAGGCATAACAACAACAAAAAATCAGTTTATCCTAAGAAAACAATAAAAAATATGAGCTATGATGGCTTTGAGGAGGGACCCAGAGAAGTTTCATATCTTAATGATAAAAGATTTTAAAACTTTGTTGTAAACTAGAATAGAAAAATGTACTAAAACTTAAGCTAATTAAATCCTAGTCCATCAAGATGCCATTCTTAATACTGAGGAGGAAAATAATGTAGGCACTAAATGGCTGGTATAGCCTATCTACATGATGCAGTTTTAAGTCTGCAATCACAGCAACCCTATACAATTTGTTACAATGGTGGGGGGGGGGAGGTTAATTGCTAAAATGAAATCACAAATGATATTAATCAAAATAGCATTAAATGACATGACTGACATCAAATGACATATTTAATCCTGAAGGGAGCTGTCTCTGTGGAATTACAAACTACTATGATCCGCCTGTCCAAATGTTTACTTTAGAATCTACTACTCATGAAATATGTAGTTCAAAAAAAATCTTACCTGCATTTGACGAAGTGGTCCTGCTAACTGCTCTGTTAATTTGGGCATCTCACTAGACTGTAAAAGCAAAGGAAAATTAGACATAAAACTGTAAGTTTAAACTGCAGTATAACTTTTAACTAACTAACCAACCAACCAACAAAAAGCTTCCATGGTAACCATTAATATCAAATTATAAGACTTTGGTCATTAGCATTTAGTTTCTAATCAACTCTTAATTTACATAAGCAAACTCACCATTCCGCTCATTCTAAATATTCTTTTATTATATTTCAGAGGAAAACACTGCTAAATTTGAAAAGTGTACTAACTAGCTATTCTGTGACCATAAATGGAATTGAGGGAGAGCAAATACTGTAAACATGCATAGCTGTCTAATTACATCAACATTATCATAAACTGTCTTATCATAGTTTGATTTTGAAACAGTTTTAGCTTCTAGGCAACTCTCCATCTAGGGAAACTGAAAATTTGGAGTAAAGAACATTAAAAGTAATGGTTCCAAATTTTACTTTACCCAGCTAGCTTTCTAACCAAGTATAAGATAGCTAAAAGTTTAATCTGAGTTTCAGTATTTTTTTTTAATTGTACTTTAGATGAAGGTTTACAAGACAAACTGGCTTCTCATTAAACAGTTACTACATATATTGTTTTATGACATTAACAACCCCACGACATGTCAACAGTCTCCCTTCTTGACCCTGGGTTTCCCTACTACCAGCTTTCCTGTCCCTTCCTGCCTCCTAGTCCTGGTGTGCCCCTTTAGTCTCGTTTTGTTTTACGGGCCTGTCTAATCTTTGGCTGAAGGATGAACCTCAGGAGTGATTTCACTACTGAGCTAAAAGTGTGTCTGGGGGCCATACTCTCCGGGTTTCTCCAGTCTCTGTCAGGCCAGTAAGCCTGGTCTTTTTTTGAGTTAGAATTTTGTTCTACATTTTTCTCCAGCTCTGCCCGGAACCATCTATTGTGATCCCTGCCAGAGCAGTCAGTGGTGGTAGCCGGACATCATCAAGTTGCACTGGACTCAGTCTGGTAGAGGCCATGGTAGTTGTGGTCCATTAAGATTTCAGTATTCTTAATATTGCCTTCCTACTAGTGAAAAGTTTGCCAATTTTCTCAATTAGATAATGGAAGTTTCAGTTCTAGCAAATGAACTTGGACAAGTTGCTTGAAATTTCTGTGTACTGGTTTCTAACAATGTCAAAGTCAAATAATAAAGCCAGATCTCCAAACCCAAAAGCTTTTGATGTGAATAAAAAACACATTGTTTGTGAAGAAATTTTTACTATACAAAAGTAAAATTATTACAAGAGTGGTATATATGCATGTGCGGAATAGGATTTTCAGTAATTATAGCTGAATTTTTTAAAAAGCAATGATAGGTTAGTTCCAACAGATCTGCCTTTATTTTAAGCATCAGCAGTTCTGTAAGATTTGACTTTAATCAGCAATCATTTATATATTATGTAATAAATACTGAATCAAGTTCTATATTATTATTCCTGTTAAAACCAAAAATCATGATGAATGATAAAACAGTAAAATCACCAGACTGAATTCAACATCTGTTTAATAGAAAAAAGAAGGTAAGACTGCTAAATGTCTTTGATATTGTGTTCATTCATGGTCAACAGTTAACTGATCACTTCCTCTCTGCTGGTCACCAGAAGCACTCCAGTAAAAGGCACTGTGACATAAGTCAACTAACTGTGATTTTCCAGTGCTCACCCACCAGGCATGTGCACAGTTTGTTCCCTCATCTTTCCTCCAAGTCTCAAATCAAATTTCACTCTATGAGTGAAGCCTTCCCTAATCTTCTTACTTAAAATAGTAATCTTGTTCCCTCAATGGTCTCTATCTGACTTCTCTGCTTCCCTTTTCTCCATAACCCTCATCACTGTTCTTCATAGTATGTATGTACTTTATTTCTTGTTTATTTTTGTCCACTAGCATAAAAATATCATGAAAGCAAAAATTTTCTGCTGTATCTCTAGTGTCTAGATCTTATGCATTGCACAGTGGGTACTTAATATTTGCAGACACCTGATATCTATATTATAAACACTGTACATAATCTTTTAGAAAGAACAGATTTTTAAACTGAAGTTAGTATACCAAGCAATTTCATCATATTTATAACAAGTACCTTATTGTGTTTATTCTTTCTGGCAAGAAAACATTCTGTTAAAAGTATCAACAAAATTCCATTTGACTTTTAGGGAAATTTTCCATCTTGATGTTGAAAGGCACCACCACAGGAATCGATGACAGTACACATAACACAGTGTGGTTTCACTTAACAAATCTTAATTGGGTATAGTGAATCTTGCCCCAAAATTTAAGAGTTGTGGTTTGGCTAAGCCCAACTCTTTTGAAGAAGTAACATACCTTGCCTCTCAGAAGAGAGGATTTTTATAGTGCCACATTTAAAAAACCAAAACATAATACAAGAAATAAGCCACAAGACAAAGTCTGACACAGGTGGAAGACCACCAAGCCCCAAACAAAATCTAAGCCTTAGATCTGTGTTCAAAGAAAACTGGACAAATGTCCTTAACTATTATCCTGGAAATTGATGTAATAAATTTTTGAAACTAAGAAAAACAGTACCCAAACAATTATTTTGTAAAGTAATACACCCTTCTCATATGCAAATTACTTCATAGGTATACTGCAGGCATTCTCAGGAGCACAAACACTGTTCTATTTGTTATCATTGCCACTACAGCTGTAATTCTAATCAGTAATCAGGAACCTGGGAGAAAAGTACCCGCCTACTCCAAGAAGTAATATATTTGATTTCATTAACATCCTTTGATGCTACCTTTGACCTACATAATTCCAATAATTAATTTATGTAATTCTATAAGCCCCTAATTTCAAATAAGACAATAAACGGGCAAATAGTAATAAACAGGTTAACAGATCCATGGCACAACAACAACAACAAAAGTCTTAACTATACTTAAAAGTTAAACTAAGAATATACATTAAATGATGATCCTCTAAAAATTCAGATAGCAATATGAAATTATTTTGAGAGGGCAACTTTTCTTTATTCATCCACAATGAATAAAATCTTAAATTTGGAATGCAAGACAATGCATTTTACTTTTTAAAAACAAATCATACTGGCTTTTGGAATAAAGTAAAAGGATGATTAGTATTCTTGTGGTGTACCATCCAGCCCTTTATTTTCTGGTTTCTTAAACTGTTGGAAGTGAACCAACTACTCATATGAAAAAATTAATACTGTTCCAACAATGAGAATTTTATTTATGGCCACTACTTCAAACTTTTTCCATGAAAAGGAAGATTTCAGTCTCTAGTAGGATCAGTTGCTTCAGAGTTATTTTCAAGTATCGGGGGGTAATTCAACCTCACTATTCCATTCATTTTTATTAGTTTTGCCAATTTTACCTAAACTCATCTTTTTCTTTCTAGAACTGTCTGACTAAGCCAGGCCTTCTAATACTGTACAGAGTTATACAACAAATTTTAAATCTGGAGTCCAATTAATGGTAGCTATTCATAAGAAACCAAAGCCCTATGGGGCAGTTCTACTCTAACCTATAGGGTCACTATGAGTCGGAATCGACTCAACAGCATTGGGTACTGTGGTATGCACTGATAAAAAAATTACTATTTCACTCCCTTTCCTGGTAATATGCATTTAATTATTTAATCTTCTTAATTTCCAATTAACATTACTCATAATATGTAAATGTGACATGTTTTTTATGATTATAAACATTCACAATGCTATTAAATTATATGATGTGTAAATTAATAAATAAGACGTGCCAAATCTATTAACTCACATTCTCTTGAAACACAAAGCAGCTTAGTAACGCTGTTGCCTGTTCTGCAGATAGATCATTGAAAAGGCCATTAAACATCATCTCGGTTAGAAGCAGCTCATCAGCACTATACAGCCACAGAAAAAGAATAAATTTTAAATGTTAGAATATGAAGACACACATATGACCACATATATCCTTAAAATGTAATTTTTAATAAAAGGTATTATTTGACCATGAGGAGTAACTGATGAGAAGTGAGAGGGGTATGTGTGTGATGAAGGATTATTCAACTAAGGGACTCGCAGGTTTCATATCTATCAACATATAAATAATAAATATGAAATGAGCATTTCATATAAAGATCCCATTACAACAAATACCAAAATGCACATATTCATCAAAACAAAGAGCCCTTTCTCACCTCTTGGTATACAAGGTAAAATAGTCATCAGCATTTATTACCTGGGTTCAAAGGATCCTTTTAAGTCATATTTATAGAAAAATAAAGGGATAGTGGACACACTTAATTACAAATCTTAATTTGAATGTACACATAGGAAGCTCACATTGTTTTCAATATTTTTCTAGTTTTGAAGGTATATATAACCAAAATGCCTAATGTCCTTTGAATGCAACTAACTGGTACTCATAAATTGTCATCTATGAAAATCAATACCTCCATCAATTCCAGATTTCAACTACATCTCTAATAGGTTCATCATTACTTCCGTTTTTTATTGTACTTGCATTGTCAAAACACATTATCAATTCCAGATTTCAAATATATCTTTATTAGGTTCTAGCTTATTACTTTCAGGTCCTCTTCTTGCATCAAAAAGATCCAATATTTTAAAAGACTCTGAAAGCTCACGATTCTGTTGAAGAGGCCATCTTTTCTGCTCCATAACTGTAAAACATTATTTTTAGATTTATATTCTGAAGATTAGAATGATCCAACAAATTTTTTTTCATTTCTTCATCATGTTTCTTTCTAATTTCCTTGTATACATACTTACCTTCAGTATTTGACCATTTATGAACCCTAAATTCAAGGTCAATTTGATGCACAAAATCATAAAAGATGAAAGACTACTGTCACAAGCTCTTTTAGCAAAATGGGATGGCCCAGGTTTTTACCACAGAACAAGTCCTTCCTATTGAACAGCTAAATGAATGAGAGTATCGTATTTCCTTTTTGTCCTTACAAATATATTGTTCACTCATTGATTCTTGAGTTTGAGAAATTACCTATAGTCTGAGATTTGGCTTATATGATCAGGTTCACCATCATTATTGAGTCGAGTGCTGCTTTGCATTCATCTTCTGATTTGTATAACAATTGCAGAACATCTTCCTCTGTTATTATTCTCTTTGCCATCATGGGTAGAAAATGAAAAATTCTAGATTCTCAAATGTGTTCAGTGAAAACTAAACCAGACTGCAAAGATTGTGTCTCTATACTTCTAACATTACGGTCCCAATAAAGGTAGATTTATAAAAGAGTCTAAGTTACAGTAATTTTAGGAGAGTGTTACTCTGTTTAAAAAAAATTTTTTTTTTTCTCTGAAACATGGAAAACCTCTGACTGTTCTGAGCCAGAAGTGTCCAACTATCAATCTTCACAAACATAAATCAAAAACTAAATTTGAGTCCCTGATATTAAACTGAGAGTTAAGTCAAACAAAGAGGATAACAATAATAATAAAGCAAAACTATTTTAATGAGCTGTAGTCTAATGCAGGAGGCTAACAGGTAAACTAATAATCAGGACAGCGATCTAACAGAGTGATCTGACATAGGTTTGTACACGCTGTTATGCAAAAACAGTTGAGGAAACTAAAGTCAGATTAGAGAAAGTCAGGGATAGCTTTCCAGAGAATCTTGGGGAAAAACAAAACATGCAGGACCGACTACAGAGGCAAGTAAGGGCAAGAACATACTAAATTATGGAATTTATTCTAAAAGAAATAGGAAATCATTGACGGATTTTAATCAGACGAATGGCATGATAGGGTTTCTACTTTGGAAAGATTACTCTGAAAGACTCTGAAAGCAGTATGAAGGATAAGTGGCAGAGATTTGACACAGGAGGCAATGAACATTTAGGAGGGCTAATGCAAGTCACTTAGGCAAGAAATTATGAGGAATGCACATTAGTCAGTGGGAGTTAAAGGGCATGGATGGGTATAGAGGAATATGTGGGAGAACATAAAGAAGGAGACAGTATTCTGACTCCCAGGGTTTTAACTTTAAGGGTTAGGTCTTATTCGCTAAGATAAGGATCAGAGGGATAAGCAAATTTTGGGGGTAAACTAATGTACTTTGATATGTGACACTGTTATCTCTATAAACAAAAAAAGTGTCTTAGAATAAAATCAATACCCATTTTTCCAAGGCTAGTCTAGGTGTAGATATCTAAGAGAAAGTAATTTCTATTATTATTAGACAATAGGTAATAATTCCAATAACGTTAATTTTGGCACATGAATCAGGAGATCAGTATTCTAGTCTAGATTTAATCCTGGGTAAATTATTGACCTTATAGTGCCCGGGTTTCTTTAATTACAAAGTAGGAAACTGAGTTGTGTTACAGGTTGAAGGAAAACTAGAAGCCCCTATGCCAAATCTAGCTTGAAGAAATGTCTTCTTTGGCCCGCACAGTGATTCAAATACTAATTCTGAATTACTTTGTGCCCATTTAAAAATTAAGAGATTTCATATGAAGTTCTAGATTTTAGGGTTCCCTACACTGCGAAGTCTGATACTGCATTACCCTATGATGACAACTAATTGGGGCTGGGTAGTGCCTGCCCCCTACTGGTAGCCATGAGTTGTCCACTTCACCAGTTTCTTCCTGGCCCCTGCAGATATCTGATTTCATCACATCTGGATGTGATGATCAATAAGAACTATATGAATAAGTTTTCACCGGGAACATCCAAAACCATTCACAAAGTCTAATTCTCAGGCTCCCTCTATTCAGTGTTATGCTGATGACATAAAAAACTGTTGCAGAATGTCTTTTTTTCATTACATTCCACTGAGAATGATGGTCATTGCTGTATGAGCAAAACAAGACATACCTTCAAA